TGTTACACATGCCAAATCCTGAGGGTTACTAGGCTCTTCTCCATGCATGCCGAGGCCGCTGGGGTCTTCCCCAGGCATGCTGAGCCCTGAGGGACATGGGGGTCTTCCCCAGGCATGCTGAGCCCTGAGGGACATGGGGGTCTTCTCTTGGCATGCTGAGTCCTGAGGGCCACTGGGGTCTTCTCCTGCACAGCTGAATGCAGGTCTACTGCTCCCTGCAGCAGCAGCACTGAGTTTCGCAGGAAATGGCCACCAAGTGAACACACAAGTCACCTGCCAGTGGAAAATAGTGCTTGCATGCCGCCCTGTCCGGTTTGAGATCCTAGAAGCCTTACAAGAAGCCCTTTCAGGTAGTAATGGTGACTTCTCATGCCTGCTTTACAAGGCTTCATTCTAACTTGATGGAAACCTTTTACAGTTTCTCTTTTCTTCTCTCCTCTCTATGCTTTCCCTCTCTTCCCTTTTCTTTCTTTCCCGTTCAGTTCTGCTCTCTCTGTGTGGCAGCGGGGCTGAGGACAGAACATGGTAGTGCCTGGTCTCCAGCTCAGGGCTACAGTGACAAGCAGCTACCAAAGGAAACCTGTGTGAAATATGTCAGGTTCCTAAGGTTTAAGCAAATAATGTTTTTAAATAAAAACAAGACAAGAGTCGTGAGGATTTCTACTGTTTCACACAGCGATTGAGACTACCCAGGCTCCAAAACTTTCTTAGCTGAAGTAAAACAGCAAGTGTATGGTTAGCAGGAGTTAGCTTTTTGTGTGATCCTATTTGCTTTATGGCAGTAGGTTCGTGTCACATAGACGTCCGTGAATGCCCAGCGATGAGTACTGCCTGAGATGCGGGAGGAATGCAGCTGCTACAGCTGAGAAATGGCCATGCTACCTCCCGGTCCTCAGCAGGGGCAGCGGTCTAGCTGCCTCCTAAACGCCGGGCTACGGCAGCATGGCAACACTCTGTCTCCTAACCGCAGGGCAATTACTTACTGAGTGGGGTTTAGCAAATCCCCCAGCACAAGGACATCCGATAGCTATGATGGAGTGTTCCGCCATTGTCGGTTCAGCAGGCAACTGAATGGCAGTGGCAACTATTTCGCTCAGTTCTCTGCCCACGTTTACTCTTCCAGTCCTCAGAGCCCTTTGCTACTGTGTTTCCTTATTGTTCTGTTTCTAACTGTATCTGCTTAAAGTTTAGTGCACAGGCCTACTTCAGGTAGGCACCTGTGAGAAACAGGGACCTCTCGCAGCGTTCACAGATTTTAAATCAAGAGACCTGAGAATGCTTTTAGATTTTGTCCCTTTGTAATAATCTGTGGCTTCTGTTTGCTGAGTGACTGGAGCGATTTCCGTTTCCTAAAAGGAAAAGGTGATGCCTCTGAACTAAGCTGTCCACTCCCAGGGTAAGCAGCTTCCAAGTCTGGGCTCTGACTGTTTGTTAGATGGCAAAACCTACCACGAAACATCAGTAACTGGTGTGGGAATCCAAGGTGTCATATTCAGTTTCATAGTCTCTTCACTCGACAGAAATGCGTTCTGAGAGGAACCCTCAGCCACAAAGAAAGGAGAAGACGTTGACTGCAGCATCCCTCAGGCACACAGCCACAAAGGTCCGTGTGAGGGAGCCACATCACGCACATTTTGAGCATTCTGAGACTGCACAGCTCCATGTGAGCATGTCTCTCCTTTGCTTTCAAATCCGCGACACCTAAAAATACTCTCTCATCCAGCACTCAAGCTTCAGAATAAAAACGGAGGAGAAAGGAGCCCGCTGATAGATTGTTAGAAATATGGAATAGTTCAAAATATTAATGTAAGGCTAAGGGTGACTGGCTAACAAATGGTACATTTGCTCATTGCTCAACCTGACATAATTAATATTCTAGGTCATGCTTAAGTTCCCATGATGGACGGTCTGAAGGGGGAAATTCAGGACAAATATATATCTATTATATAACTCATTGCCTTTTTTTGACCACTCAGAATCATAGCCTTTAAAAAAAATCAGCTTTCACACCTCATTTGCTGTCTTCACCACCGGGCCACCAGTCAGCAGCCGGGCCTGTTGCAAGGAGGTCAGTGGGAAGCTATTAGCAGAGTTGCCTCCTGAGAGCTCCTAGGCCTTATTGAGTTGAGTGTTAGCATGACAGAACTGCAAATAACTCAGGGTTAGGCTTTTTCCTTTTCTTTCTCTTTTTTTCAAACAGTTAGCACAGATTTCCCCATAGTGTTGGTCACTCTAGGAAATTATTACTGAAAATGAAGTCCCCAAAGCTAGCATGGCAGTGGCCCTTCTAGGCTGTGAGAAATGGGGAAAGTAGAAAATATGCCCTCGTCCCTTCGGGGTTACTGTGTCTTCTGTGTCTCGCAAGAAACATTCTTCTTAACCAGCTTTCAGATATGGAATGTGGCAATTGAGACAGTCATATATTTTTAAGCATTACTTACTTAAAGAAATAATAATTAAATGGAGACCATAGCATTAAATAGGTATTTGCTTGCTGTGGGAGGTCCAGGAAGGCCAGACTGCTTTTACTGAGGTAAGTTAGCTATCATAGTAATTTCTAACATACTGACACCTTGAAGATTTTAAATGATACATTTGAAATTCAATTAAAATATATTTTCTATCTATATTTGATTTAAATTGCAAAGAGAATACACATGAGGAGGTCTCTATATAGTTACAAAGTCTAATTTAAGAAAGCTATCATGTCTCTCAGGCCATTTGCATTTCCCATCTTGCCTATGTATACACGTGCGTGCAGATGCACGAGGAGATCAAGATTCCTAGCGGGGCAAAGTTAATACAGATGCTAGCAGCTGTTCAGGCCAGTGGGAGTCTAAATGGTAAATTACAACCTTTAGCTCAGTTGTATGAATCTCACAACTTAATCTATAAGGTCGTGGAAATTTGGGCAGTAAAGTAAATTAACAGATTTCCAATTAGACTGCCCCTATCCAAAATGGTATTTGTTCTCTTGTATCTTTTTCAGAGAGCAAATGACATGGTTATTTTATGCCAAAATCATCTTTTTTAATCTAACATTTGTTCTTCCCCCTCATCCTCAGTACATTTTTGATCTAGAAAAGCATTCTAAAAACCATCTGAAGACTTGCCCTCAGCTAAGTGGCCACTAAAGCTCCTATAGACATGCATATGTATGTGTATATGTTCCTTCACTAAAGCTCCTATAGACATGCCTACACATGTGTATATGTTCCTTCACTAAAGCTCCTATAGACATGCCTACACATGTGTACATGTTCCTTCACTAAAGCTCCTATAGACATATGTACATGTTCCTTCACTAAAGCTCCTATAAACATACATACACAGACAAACATGCACATGTGTATATGTTACTTCACTACCGTTTGTTTCTTTCATGTATCCATCCACTTTGTTTTCTATAATGACAAAAATGTGTTACCCTTACACTAAACTACTTTCTGTAACTTAAAAAAATCATTCTAAAATATAGTATCACTCATATTAAGGAGTAAATATCAAAGAAGAAACTATTTGAAAATTGGTTTTAGACATGTGTTTGTGTTAACTTTATTTTATGTACAATAAATTTTAGTCCTTAATTGAAAAGTAGAAAAGTTGGATTTGAGGTGACCCATGTGGGTCTAATCATGGTTCTTTGTAAGTCAATATGAACAGTGTGCTGTAGAAAAAGGTCGCATCGTGAATTCCCTTTTTTCTCGTGTGCTTTCGCTGCTTTGGAAAGCTGGAGTCACAGGACTTGATGCATTTTCTGAACGGTTGAGTGTTTAGAGTCATTTATTGTCTACTGCGTACCTTGCATCTTGATAGATTTTGAGGTTGCCAAAATACCAAAGAACTGCCATGCACTCCACTTGCTTGCTGAGGAAAACTGAGACACAAAGATAACTCTGAAATAGCAATTTATGTAATGGATGATGGTGAGCAGAGTGGTACCTCCAGGTTAGAAAGGAAGAATTGGTTCAGGGCTGGGCTGGGTGTAGGATAGGAGCCAACTCTTGCTGAAGTGTTGATTAGAAATGTCAAACTTTTCCTGAATAATTTTCTAAAGATGGCTGCTCTACCTAGTACTACCATGGGACTGCACCTGCGCCAAAGTGATATATGATCAGAGATGTTTATGGATTAATTACAACATAAAAGAAAAGACTATTTCTTTTAGCAATAACAGAACCATTTAATAAATTCTTTATATAGTTCTGTGTCTACAGAGCCACCTATTTTCCATCCTTGAAACTTTTACTTTTCCCTACATATGTGAATTCTCATGAAGGGTATTTATACATGCGCATGTATAGATATGTTCATGTATTTTTATTATGCTTCTGTGGAAATCTAATACTATCAAAATATATTTATATCAAGTAAGGTTCTCTACAGTTTGTGATTCAAATAACAGGAGGTTTCTACAAAACGGACATCCGCCGCACTTGAACGTCATTTTTGTCCTATGTCACGTGTGCAGCCTCTACAGCCCAGCAGATGCTATGCCCAGTCTCCACTGTTCTGTGCAGCATGTGACAGAGCCATCACGGAGCAGCAAGGCCAACATGGCACTGCAGAAGCAGGACACCTGATGTCCCGTTCATTTCCGTGAGCATCCCATATGGATGTGAAGTCCAAATACAGGACTCAAAGTTAACACTATCAAACTTATTCAGACATTTCACATTTGCCTTCGCGTAAAAGATGGTACGGCTTACAGATAGACTTTAAAGCTTATCTCCCAAGAATACAAAATGGATGACTTAAGATCCCACTGTAATTTTCCTCAAATACAATTTCAGACTGAGTTTTAAAAACATACTTACTCTGCAATCCTTAAAATCGCTAAGATTATTGGTCTAAACCAGATCCAAAGGGTCAGTATTCTTTTAATTCCCCTCTGGTAAGCCCAGCCCTGATTAAGCAGCAGAGTTGAAGTTTCAACTATTTTTCCCTTAAATGCATGACAGTTTAACTTCATATTAAAATTAAGAGCTGTTCTTCTTTAGGTTCCAGGTATATACAATTCACCTTTCCGAAAACAGCCTGACCCTTGGGAGCTGCGGTTACAGAAGGCAAAGCCGTTAATGCACCAACCAGAAACTGCAGTGACGACCAGGTCCCACCGTAGCCTCAGTAGCTGGCTGGCCTGCACCAGTGCCCGCTCCTTTCCGCAGTCGGCAAGTCTGCCACCTATCAACAGGAAGCAGTGCCAGGTACCAAGCGACCCCACGGGAATCCGTCTTTAATTTCTTACCCTCACTCTTCCCCTAGCCTCTTACTGTGCTATAGTATACGCATAATGATGTTTGTTAATGTCGTCATCTTTCAGCACACCTTTCTAGCGCATCGGGCTCGTGAGCACCGTTTTCTGACCACTATTGTCACCACAGACAGCTCCTCCTCGCCAACCTCAGGCTCTTCAAAATGCTCTCCATTTCTCTTCTGTGTCCCATCATGGCCTGTTTCTCATGTCAAAGTATACTAAGACCTGTCAAAATATGTCAGAATGCCATTCCTTTCATATATATATATATATATATATATATATATATATATATATTTCCATCACATGTGTGTGCCCAAATCTTTATCCATCCATGACTCAAAAGACATGATCACTTTATGTTAGCTACTTTAAAAATACCTTGCAAACCTGATAAACCTGATACCACATTTTTTGACAACACACTACTAAGTCAAATGGTTTGAAAGTGAGGTTTTTTTGTTTCTTTTTTTTTTTTTTTTTGGTCCCATGGCAAATGTTTTACTCTTTCCATGGTGTTGTATGATTAAAATTCCTTTGTTTTGTGAAAGAAAAGTTCTTTATTTATAAAGACTTAACTTTAAATATGAAATATCTCATGATAACCTTGTTGCCAAAAAAGTGGGTAAGTGGTCTGCCTATTTTGGACATCCTACTGAGTGTGGGTTTAGAATACAGGTTATTGTACAAATACTGGGCTGTTTTATGTGAATTGTTACAGTAGCACCCGCTGTAATCCATTACTGCTGGAAATATGTCTAGTGCTATGCAATAGACTTAACATAACCTCTCCTCCGATGATACACGTAATGTTTGAAATATGACTTCCATATGAATCATTTAAAAAGTGCCAGTTTGACATTTGGAGACACCCCAAAGACTCACAGCACAGACAATCAGGAAATCTTGACTGTATCTGGATTGTGATAGAGTTAGGTAGGAAAAGCCCTTCCTGGGCTGCAGGGTAGACTTTTAGACAGGGAAGGATATTTGTCATGATCCTAAAAGCCCCATTGTCCCAGAAGGGACAACTCTGTGAACCCTTCAGTATTTCAACTGCAGATGGCAGCTGCCTGTGGCTAGCGTCAGTCGGCAGCTAGGTTTGACCCTGAAGAGTAACTAACCCTCTGCACATTGGCTCCTTCCACAGGCTTGCTTGAATATCAGGTACCAGAAAGAGAGAACAGAAAGGCCTAAACCAAAATGCATTTGCCTTTCCATAGCATCCCTAGGGTAGTGCCTCTGAATCTAGTTTTCTCATGAGTGTTGTCAGGGGTCACCCAGGCTGTGGCTTCCTCTGAAGGCTTGGATGGGCTGTAAGGAGAGGAGGCAAAGAGATCCCCTTGCTCAGTTCTGTCATCCCCAAGGCTAGCTGCTGCCATGTTGTTGTCCTTCCTCATAGTGTCAACCTCACAAAGTTGCCCCACGGCATGGCTACTGGCTTCCTTCAAAGGGAACCATCCTGCAGAAGGGGGAGATGCTTTCGAAACAGAAGCCAGAACTGATATCCCATGACCATTGCCCTGTTTTGTCTATTTAAGATGAGTAGACCTGTTTCCATTCAAGGGCAGGAGACCACCCAGAACAGCGGAGAGCTTGAAGCAGAGCCTATTGGAGACACCTTGGAGACTTTCCATGCCTGACACCTGGTGGGCCTCTCAGTCAGATCACTTGCATCCTACTGTGTTAGAACTTCCTGCATTGCTATAATTATCTGGGATGTATTTCTGTTCTCTGTAATTACACCCTCAATTGCCTTTATTTCAATATTTTCCTCTCAAGCCTGCTAACAAAACAAGCGCTATTAGCTGTTAATTTTATGACATCTTAGAGGGATCCTGGTTTGTTTATTTATCTCTTAGCTCTTTGTTCTTTTGCAGGGGGCAGAATTCATCTCCCAAATCACACATGGAGTCTCATTCTTATAGATGTCTGGCCGTACCTTGGCTTGTTTCTAGCCAGCTTTCTTAAATTATCTTGTCTATCTGTTGCCTCTGGGCTTTTACCTTTCTCTATTTCTGTACACCTTTTCTTTCTTACTTACTCTGGCACTGGTTGTGTACCTGGGTGGTTGGTCCCTTTTTCCCTTGCTGCTTGTTTTCTCTTCCTGTCTTTCTTTTTCTCATCTATTTATTCTGTTTCCCAGCCCCACCTATCCTTTCTCCTGCCTTCCTACTGGCCATTCAGCTCTTTTTAGACCATCGGGTGTTTTAGACAGGCAAAGAATCACAGCTTCACAGTTAAACAAATCCAACATAGAAGAATGCAACACATTTTTGCATCATTAAAACAAATGTTCCACAACATAAACAAATATAGCACATCTTAAAACAGTATTCCACAACAGGAATCATAAAACACCTCTGCTGCTATATACGTTCTGTTCCCTTCTCACTTCTTCTAGTCTCTTTTCTTGCTTTTTTCTCTCATTTGATTTCTTATCATTTTTCCATTCCTTTTTCCTTCTCTCCTTTACCTCACAGCCTTCTCTTACTCTGCACACACTGCCCATGCTCTTTCTCATCTCCTTCTTTCATCTTAACATTTTTCTTTTCTTTTTGTTTGTCTTGTTTCTTCTTTTGTGTCCTCTCTTCCCTCCACCCTCGTGTCTTTCTTTTTATGCACAGCAGGATTGTTGTTTATTCATTGGCTGAGCAACATTTCTTCTATTCAACAATAAAAGGGTCAATACATTGAGGGTGTTTAAGACTACCCAGATGCCAATGTGTGAACACAGCATTTGGGATTTGGATGCTAATTTCTTGAATGTCTGGGACAACTCTACTAAGTTAAAAAAATATTCATTATTAAACTTGGATAAACACTTTGAAATAAAGGATAACTATATAGTCATATTGACTGTAGAACAGAAATGTGCTTGATTTTCATAGCCAAGACCTGGATGGAGGCAAGGCAAAATTAAACCCCGCAAAGTTACAGCTGAGAACACAAGGACCCATAGGATCAGGTTGAGCCTTAGATAGCCACACATTCCAGGAATTGTTGGTTAAAGAAATGATGATGAAAATATCTAAAATTTGAAGTTATTTCCAAAATATATTAACTTGTGTCACTTCAGGAACAAATGGGACAGGATATACCTCAGCTCTTAAACAGAAGCTGTGGCAAAGAAGAGTCAGCATCTGTCCAGTTTACTCACCAAAGAGGTGCACCATTGAGCTCTAAGGCGAAATGCTGATTGGGATGGAACAGGAGACTGACAGGGTGCAAAAAGCTCTGGTCCATTCTCATGATGCCATTGCTTAAATAAGGTTCCTCTGACAGCCCTGTACTCAAGAGAGCTAGTGAATTCCAGGCAAGTCTAGTAAGGGAGATTGGAGATTGAGGAAGATGTGTGTGTGTGTGTGTGTGTGTGTGTGTGTGTGTGTGTGTGTGTTTTCCAACAGAGGTTTAAAGCATCTGCTAGCCCTGTCCGTCTCAGCTTCTGAACTTTTGTTTCTTTGATGGTTCTTTTGTCCCAAATGCTTTTGAATTCTATTTTTGTAACAAATAAGAACCTGCCACTTTTGAGATGCAGCATGTCTTTAAGGCCACATGGAGTGTTAGTCTCACATCCTAAAGGAAGTCCTGAGCCCAGTTCTTACTCTCACACACCCAGTGAAGACAGGCCCACAGGAGTGACTGGCACTTAGTTCCCAACCAAATACCAATTCTTTCACCATTGTATTTGACAAAGCGCAAAGCGTTCAGTTTAAGACTCTTGACTCCTTGATTACAGATTGAAATCATGATCGTGTGTCTTTAAAAAGCAAACTTCCAATACAAATCCACTAACCCCTTCCAAATATAGTAATCCTCCTGTCCAGCTGCGGAAAGTACTAGATGATACTGATCTGCCATTTGTGTTATTTACGGTCCATGACTTTTATGGTAACTGGTTCCTATTATTGGTTTCTATTAATGTAAAACATAAGTGAACATAAATGAGGCGTGAATCATTTCTTTTTATTAGCCCCACAGTCTTCACTCGGCACTCGCAGAGGCTCCAGCTGCGACTTCTTAGTAATAACCCATCTAAAGGAGACAGTTTCAAGAATAAGGAATGAGATTAGAAATCTTTGTCCATTTTGTATTATTCCTCTCTAAAACAGGGGTGAAAAGATATAAAACAGTATGTCGTTAGCGACACAGCAAATGCCTAAGCTGCCTTTGGCTTGCCTGTGAACATCATGATGCTGGCTGGCCAGCCAGTGCACTCTGGTGCCTTGTGCCTTATCTTACTCTACAGGAGGCTGTGCAGAGAGTCACTCAGGTTCGTCTCTGCACTCTTTCCTCTTTTAGTTTTAGTCCTGAAAGACTACCCTTAGTTCTGGAATCAATGAGCATCCGAATTCAGATAGAACAAGGATGGTCAGTGGGGTATTTTATGTTTCAGAAACCAACAAGTAAATACAGTATTTGGCACCCACATAAAGGCTTTTGGAAAGTTAATGCTCATAATCTTTTCTTGTCTTTACTAACTTAAAAAGGGGAAGCACACACTTCAGTTGTGTTGGAAGAAGGGTGCCTGTAAAGTTACAATGTAAAGCAACCTAGAACCATAGGTTTGCTAGCCCACATGTGAGAACCTTCTCGACATGGTGGGATATGTCTGCCCAGTCTAAAACAGTTTTAAGACAATCACTTTCATGAGAGAAGACAGTTCCAGAAGATAAGTGATATTCTTGTTTGTTTGGTTTTGTTGTTGTTGCTGTTGTTTTGAGACAGGGTGTCTCTGTGTAGCCCAGGCTGTCCTGAAACTTGCTCTATCGACCGGATTGGCCTTGAATTCAGAGATTTGCCTGTGTCTGCCTCCCAAGTGCTGGTATTATAGGTGTGTGCCACCATTGCCTGGCTGATACTCTTGTTCTTTTATTTGCTTGTTTTATTTCTCAGAAAAATGTTTTAAAAATAATTAAATAAGCTTGTTCTATTTTGTAGAAGTTCAGCACTGCAGTTGTTACTGTGTCGAAACTCTTCCATAGTGAAACGCATTTGTCCTCCTGTCTTGTCAGGGACCCTTCCGAGACATCAATGAAGTCCTGCATCAGCGTTACAAGCCTTTGGAGCCCACCCTGAGGGTGGCAGAGCCCATCAACCACTTAGAGCTGGCCAGAGAGGCATTTAAGCAAGATGAACGGATGCGCAACGTGAACGACAAGATGTGAGTGCTTAGCTGAATTGTCTTTGCTGATTCAAATCTTCCAGTACTTCTCGTTAACCTAATTTTATAGAGAATGCTTTCCTTTGTGCAGAAAAGCAAAGTCGCTCTTTGCCTATTCAGTGACAATCATATTACAGCATACAATGATGTAAGTGAGGGCAATACTGATGGTAGAATGTATATACACCACTCATGGGGAAAATGTGAATCTATATGCCACTCCCTAAATTATATTTGTGTGTGCGCTTCTCCAAGGAGAGGAATACAAGTGGTGTTTTCAGAGGGAAAAAACAGCTGTACACATCTGCAGCTAGAATTTTTACGTGACTAACGAATGGTTTCAAAATAACACAGTAGAGCGAGCATGTCTCCTGTGGAGATGTGCCTGAAGACAACAGTGCACCACGGTGTCTTCAATCAGGTGCAGGGGAAGAGGCGAGTTCAGACCGAGGAGAATAAGTAAAACCATAGAGGCTGATCTGTCAGCATTTCCAGTGTAAATTATTTTAACAGCCTTAGTGACTTAGGCCTTAACACATAACATCTTTCTCTTTGATGTTCCCTTTCTCTTAAGGTGCTTTGTCCACAATAGAGTCACGTGTAATTTATAATTGACCATTGTAAATCCAGAATGGTCTTATTGTTATTATTGTTATTATCCTAGACTGTCTTGTGTAATCATTATTGCAGTGTATCTTGGTATTATTTTAGTGTTTCGTGTGCTAAATGATAATGGTAATAATATAAGTGATTTTAATTATAATGTAATAATTTAGTATGATATAAATTACTACTATAAATTCCTATGTAATAGCATACTATAATATGTAAGTGCCATATACAATAACTACTAACCATCACTGTATGTCACATGGTAATAACTTATATAATAGTAATTACAAATGCATTAAAATATGTTGTATAAAGAAACAAGCATGACATTTCTCCTTCATAGTGGGTTTTTGATCATTTTACCAGTCAAGAAATATACATATGACTCTTTAAGATAAAGAAATTTTAAACAAATATTGAAAAATAAAAATGTTCACAAACTGAAAACTAAAAAGGTCAATGCCTCCAAAGGAATTGTCTAGGTTTTATTTTAGAGCGACTGCTAGTGATGAAAATAGCTATAGTATGTTTAGTAGATGTTTTCAGTTTCTGATCAAATGTATCAAAAATAAAAAATTACCTTGACCAATATTAGTTTGGTGAAAAATACATACATTTACCACAGAAATTACATAAGATTCTGTGGCTCAAATTTAGGCAAAATATATGAGCTTAGTTATGAATACTAGAGGTATGTCCTAAAATTCTTTTGCTTTTAATTTGAGATGGGGCCTCACTGTGTAGCCCAGGCCGGCCCTAACCTTGGCACCTTCTTGCTTGTCCTTGCCTCTGCTGGTTTTTGGTATACCACTACACCTAGCTCAGAATTACTTTTCTGTTTCAACAAGACAAAGTTTATGAAAGGGAAGACTCCTTACCAAAATAATTGATTCTGTTGCTTACCCCATGGATGCTCCTGGAGGGTCAATGCTCTTCACGCTTATCATGAATTCTCTTGATCAGCCTTGTAAGATCAAGCGTCAGTGTTAATCCCAAAGGAATGTGCTTGATCTCCCCATAGACCACCTGTAAGTAACACGTGTCCCTGTGGTCTCATGAAGACCCTTCATGCTGAAGCATTTGGCTACTTAACAGGACTTCTGAGATTAGCAAGCCTGTCAGAAACAAGCTAAGTCAGAACTGCTGAAGATTCACTGAGTTCAGACCACTTACGCTTTTGGCAGCTTATGTAAGCAACTGCTTCCGGTAGTTAGCCCACGGTTTGTTCCATTGTAGTAGGCTTGAAATATTGATGCTTTGTAACTTATTCTGAAACAAATGCATCTTTGTATGGTGGATAACTCACAAGTATATTATGTATAGAAATGTTAGAGCTAGGCTTTACATCTCTGTTGATGATAGTTTTATGATGAAATCATAGAAAGAAATTTACACTGACATAGAGATGTATGTTTTAAATATGGAGGACCCACTTCCTACATTAACAATTTCTTCCTACATTAGCAATCTCCAGAAGTCAGAGGCAGGATGCTTGTTACAGTCTGAGGCTTGTTCCAGTCAGGAAAGACAGAGCTTTATTTCTGCTCTCGAGGGCTAGAGACATAGCGCTGCACTGATGCTCAGTGCTCTTTGCTTTTGTGTTGCCACGAAGATGACATTGCATTTTATCAGGAGGAATTCGAATGATGCAAGCTCAAACCTTGCCCCATCCCCAACATTAGCAGTGTGCTCTTAAGACTCTTTGGACAGTAATTTCACCCTGCCATGCCTCTATTTCCCTGTCTGTCACATAGATAGAAATGTTATCTTAAAAAATTATATTGAGACCCAGTAATTTAGAAGAATCTAAATTAAAAAATAATTATTAACAATCAGGACCGGGGAAAATTGTTTAGTGGGCAGTAATATTTGCTGCATAATAAGAGGTCCAGAGTTCAAATCCCCCAGCACACATGCTAGAAAAATGACTGTGTGCATCTGTAACCCTACATTTGAGGGACAGAAAGGAGATCACCGAGATCATTTTCTGCCAGTCTAGTTTCAGGTTCAGCAAGACACCCTGTTTCAAGGGAATAGGCAGAAAGGACATCCAGTATCTTCTTCTGGCATCCACAAACACACATAGGTACACACACCCACACATACAATTGCACCTACATCTGTCAGCCACACACTTTGCATATGCACGACAGCTCTTCAAGAATTGGGAGGAAGTTACATTACAAGCACGGGCTTGCTCCACACACTACTCTAATTTACAGGGCTCCAGAAACTTTAACCACTTTCTCAGCTCAAGAAGTTTCATCTGACCCCAGATCTATAAATATGTTTGTATACAGAAAAATGATGGTAAATCACAACAGAATTTATTTTTAAAATAATTTTATTCATGCAATTTGCCACATATTAAACGTTAGGCAAGCTGGATTTAATGAGATGGAAGTGCTTGTTTATTTTTATGTAGAGAATTAAGTCTTGGTTGAATATTTGAGTCTTCAGGAAACAGAGCATCTTCAGCATTTTTCCAAGTTGATTGGCAGTTTGATTTTCGAATCCTCAGTGCTGACCTTACATAAACACATAGTACAAAATGGCAGAAGTTTAGCTGAAACCATTTCAACAGCCAATGGGAATGGTCTTAATCCCAAGCTAAATTCATGAAATACTTTTTAAATGAAACGTCAGCAACTCAAACAGTAATTTTCAAAATCAAACATTTTAGCACCTCACAATGCAGAGATACATGAATTTGATGCTTACATATGGAGAATTTTCTGTACACAAATAGTACAAGTCTTTGTTCTCCAGAGCCTGCAGTCATGAGTCTGGAGAAGGAACTAGAAATGAAGTGGTGGTTGACAGAGAAGGGAGACCAGGCAGAGTAGTAGGGGAGCAAAAAAAATGTTTGTGCACACGTGTGACATTGTTAGCACAATTAGAGAAAAAGTCTGGAAGGAGGTCAGAAAGGGCTTTGTTTTCAGGAATTAAATCATGGTGACAGATTGAGTGGAAATCTTTGTATGGATGGGACACATTTTCAATTCATAACAGAACAGTCTCAAGTCAGAGCTGAGATGTCTCAGGCAGTGTTTGTTGGGATCCAACGGCACTCAGTGAGGTGAATGTGCCCTCCTTAAATGTGGGTAGCCCCATCCCGTGTATGGGGTCCCAAAATGAATGTAAAAGGAGACTGTCCATGCAGCGTGACCAGCTCCCTCACATGGCTGCTGCCTTGATATCCCCACCATGAGGGACTACATGCTGAACCTGTGAGCCCAAATTGTGAGTGGGTTTGGTCACCGTGGAAGGGCAGGTCACGGACAATGGTGCTTTAGAAGGACGACTGTGTTCAGTGGAGCTGGTCTGTAGAGGACTACAGTAGCACTGTTGGGAGGTGGGGGCTTCGGCTGATCGCAGGCATCAGTCTCATATAAATATAATCTGTGCATCTGTACATTGTCGTTTCTACCAACGGCTTCTGTGAGTCCAAGGTTTGCTTCTGCGTTCCAGCATTATTTCCAGCCCCATCTTCACGTGCTCCTCGCCTGATGTCTAAGACTTTGTGCCTGACACACTGGCCTCCTTGTCCTTGACTTGGATGTGAATTGTGTCCCCTGCATGTCTGATCAAGGTGGGCTGTGGGTCTCCCTCACCTTCATCATCATATCCATCAGTCCTGAAGCTTGTACATTCCATCTTACAAGGAGCTTTCAAATCAGCCCTTCCTCTCTTTTCTACTTCAAGTCTTGATGGAAGAATTTGCAATTTCCTATTTTAATAGCCATAAAATGCTTTCTATCTTACCCACCCAGTTTTACTAATGAAACCCAGATATTTTATTTTTTCCAGTAGTTTTCTGTTTTTTTCTGAAAACATTTTCATACAATGTATTTGATCACATCTCTCCTCCCCCAAATCCTCCCAGACCTCCCCATATCCCTACCCACCCAACTTTGTTATTTTCCCTCTCCCTTTCAACAAACAGAAAACAATAATCAGAAGCAAAACAATAAAAACAACCACAAAAATTCCACAAAATCACAAAAATGAAAATTGAAACAAGCAAAGAACCCATTAGATTAAAAAAAAAAGCCAAAGCCAAAATGATACAAAAAGATCACAGAAACACTCCTGAGTTCCTTTTGTGTTGTCTGCGTGCTCCTGGGCATGGGGTCCACCCTGGAGTGTGATGTAGACATACCCAGTGAGACTGTTGGAGAACTAATTCTTCCCTTGTCAGTAGGTATCAGTTACAGAGCTTCTTCTTGGGGGTGGGCCCCTGTGTCCACTCCACTTCTCAGGGCTGGGTCCTCATCTGGCCTGAACCTGTGCAAATCTCATGAGTGCTGCCACAGTCTCTGTGAGCTCGTGTATGTGTCAGCCCTGTTGTGTCTGGAGATGCTGTTTCTTTGGTGTCATCCACCACC